ATAGGGCAGCCCCACACCTATGGATCACCCCTCCCATAACCCCCCCATCTATGGGGCAGCCCCACACCTATGGATCACCCCTCCCATTAACCCCCATCTATGGGGCAGCCCCACACCTATGGGTCACCCCTCCCATAACCCCCCATCTATGGGGCAGCCCCACACCTATGGGTCACCCCCTTCCATTAACCCCACATCCATGGGGCAGCCCCACATCTATGGGTCACCCCTCCCATAACCCCCCATCTATGGGGCAGCCCCACACCTATGGATCACCCCTCCCATTAACCCCCATCTATGGAGCAGCCCCACACCTATGGATCACCCTCCCATTAACCCCCCCATCCATGGGGCAGCCCCACATCTATGGGTCACCCCTCCCATTAACCCCCCCATCTATGGGGCAGCCCCACACCTATGGGTCACCCCTCCCATAACCCCCCATCTATAGGGCAGCCCCACACCTATGGGTCACCCCTCCCATAACCCCCCATCTATAGGGCAGCCCCACACCTATGGGTCACCCCTCCCATAACCCCCCATCTATAGGGCAGCCCCACACCTATGGGTCACCCCTCCCATTAACCCCACATCCATGGGGCAGCCCCACACCTATGGATCACCCCTCCCATAACCCCCCATCTATAGGGCAGCCCCACACCTATGGGTCACCCCTCCCATAACCCCCCATCTATGGGGCAGCCCCACACCTATGGATCACCCCCTTCCATTAACCCCACATCCATGGGGCAGCCCCACATCTATGGGTCACCCCCTCCCATTAATCCCACATCCATGGGGCAGCCCCACACCTATGGATCACCCCTCCCATAACACCCCCATCTATGGGGCAGCCCCACACCTATGGATCACCCCTCCCATAACCCCCCATCTATGGGGCAGCCCCACACCTATGGCTCACCCCTCCCATAACCCCCCATCTATGGGGCAGCCCCACACCTATGGGTCACCCCTCCCATTAACCCCCCCATCCATGGGGCAGCCCCACACCTATGGGTCACCCCTCCCATTAACCCCCCCATCTATGGGGCAGCCCCACACCTATGGGTCACCCCTCCCATAACCCATCTATGGGGCAGCCCCACACCTATGGGTCACCCCTCCCATAACCCCCAATCCATGGGGCCGCCCCACACCTATGGATCACCCGTCCCATAACCCCCCATCTATGGGGCAGCCCCACACCTATGGGTCACCCTCCCATAACCTCCCCACCTATGGGGCAGCCCGATCACCCGTCCCATAACCCCCCATCTATGGGGCAGCCCCACACCTATGGGTCACCCCTCCCATTAACCCCCCATCTATGGGGCAGCCCCACACCTATGGATCACCCCTCCCATTAACCCCCCATCTATGGGGCAGCCCCACACCTATGGATCACCCCTCCCATAACCCCCCATCTATGGGGCAGCCCCACACCTATGGCTCACCCCCTCCCATTAACCCCCCCATCTATGGGGCAGCCCCACACCTATGGATCACCCCTCCCCATTAACCCCCATCTATGGGGCAGCCCCACATCTATGGGTCACCTCTCCCATAACCCCCAATCCATGGGGCAGCCCCACACCTATGGGTCACCCCCTTCCATTAACCCCACATCCATGGGGCAGCCCCACACCTATGGGTTCTGTCCATTAACCCCCGATCTATGGGGCAGCCCCACACCTATGGGTCACCCCTCCCCATTAATCCCCTATGGGGCAGCCCCACACCTATGGGGCGCTACCCCCTTTCCCAGCTCCGGGTGATAGCGGCTGTTGTAGGGCCGGTTCCTGTCATCCATGGGGCAGTGGGGGGCGGGGTCCCCCTCCCCCCACAGCCCCTCCCCCCTCAGCAGCTCCCGGCTCCTCCGCGCTTCCCGCGCTTCCCTTTGGAGGCGCTGCTGGCGCAGGCGGGAAAGGGAGGGGGAGGGGCGGGGTTTGGGAGGGGGAGGGGCTTTGGGTGGGGGTGGGGTGGGGTGGGGGAGGGGCTTGGGGGAGGGGGGGCGCAGGTACCAGGGGGGGGAGGTCATGGCCTCGGCTGAGCTTTGGCCTAAGAAGGTCAAGAGGCCGAGGGCCCGATCCTGGCGCTCCTGTTGGGGGAGGGGGGACATTGAGACCCATAGAGACCCATAGAGAGCCATAGAGACCCATAGAGACCCATAGAGACCCATAGAGATCCATAGAGACACATAGAGACACATAGAGACCCATAGGGACCCATTGAGACCCAGAGACCCATAGAGACCCATTGAACCCCATAGAGACTCATTGAGAGCCACTGAGACCCATAGAGACCCATAGAGACCCATAGAGACCCATAGAGACCCATAGAGACACATAGAGACACATAGAGACCCATAGAGACACATAGAGACCCATAGAGACCCATAGAGACACATAGAGACCCATAGAGACCCATAGAGACACATAGAGACCCATAGAGACCCATAGAGACACATAGAGACACATAGAGACCCATAGAGACCCATAGAGACCCATTGAGACCCATAGAGACCCATAGAGACCCATAGGGACCCACAGAGACCCATAGAGACCCATAGAGACACATAGAGACACATAGAGACCCATAGAGACCCATAGAGACCCATAGGGACCCACAGAGACCCATAGAGACACATAGAGACCCATAGAGACCCATAGAGACCCATAGAGACACATAGAGACACATAGAGACCCATAGAGACCCATAGAGACCCATAGGGACCCACAGAGACCCATAGAGACCCATAGGGACCCACAGAGACCCATAGAGACACATAGAGACACATAGAGACCCATTGAGAGCCATTGAGAGCCATTGACCCCATAGAGACCCACTGATCCCCATTGAACCCCATCGAGCCCCATTGAGACCCACTGAGCCCCACTGAACCCCATTGAGCCCCATTGAGACCCACTGAGACCCACTGAACCCCATTGAGCCCCATTGAGACCCACTGAGACCCACTGAACCCCATTGAGACCCATTGAGACCCACTGAGACCCACTCAACCCCATTGATCCCCATTGAACCCCATTGATCCCCACTGATCCCCATTGAACCCCATCGAGCCCCATTGAGACCCATTGAGACCCACTGAGACCCATTGAACCCCACTGAACCCCAACTGAGACCCATTGATCCCCATTGCCCCCCATTGCCCCCCATTGATCCCCATTGCCCCCCATTGCCCCCCATTGATCCCCACTGCCCCCCATCGCCCCCCATCCCCCCTCCCCCACCTTTTCCCGCCGTTTCTCCTCCTCGTGCTCCCGATTGGGGGCCGTGTCCACGCCCCCCCCGGCGTGGGGGGAGGGGAAAAGCTCCACGTGGGGGGAGGGGCAGGCGCCGCTCCCCTCCCCCACCCGCGCCTTCTTCCTTAGCACATTGGTCCTGGCCTGGGGGGGGGGAGGGGAGGGGGGGGAACCGCACATCAGTGGGGTGCAGTGACCCCCATAGCCCCATAACTGCCCCCATAGCCCCATAACTACCCCCATAGCTGCCCCCATAGCCCCATAACTACCCCACATAGCCCCATAACTGCCCCCATAGCCCCATAACTACCCCCATAGCCCCATAACTGCCCCCCATAGCCCCATAATTACCCCCATAGCCCCATAACTGCCCCCCATAGCCCCATAACTGCCCCCATAGCCCCATAACAACCCCCATAGCCCCATAACAACCCCCATAGCCCCATAACAACCCCCATAGCCCCATAACTGCCCCCCACCCCCTATAACTACCCCCATAGCCCCATAACTGCCCCCCATAGCCCCATAACTACCCCCATAGCCCCATAACTGCCCCCCATAGCCCCATAACTACCCTCATAGCCCCATAACTACCCCCCATAGCCCCATAACTGCCCCCCATAGCCCCATAACTACCCCCCATAGCCCCATAACTACCCCCCATAGCCCCATAATTACCCCCCTTCACCCCCCATAATTACCCCCATAGCCCCACAATTACCTCCCTTTACCCCCCATAATCACCCCCCATTACCCCCCATAATTACCCCTATTGCCCCCCACAATTAACCCCCTTTACCCCCATAATTACCCCCCTTCACCTTCCATAATTACCCCCATAGCCCCATATCTACCCCTCTTTCCCCCCCATAACTACCCCCCATAGCCCCCTAATTACACCCTTAGCCCCATAATTACCTCCCATTACCCCACAATTACCCATTACCCCCCATAATTACCCCCATTGCCCCCCACAATTACCCCCTTTATCCCCATAGCCCCATAATTACCCCCCATAACTACCCCCCTTTATCCCCCATAATTACCCCCATAGCCCCACAATTACCCCCATTACCCCCATAATTACCCCCATAGCCCCAAAATTACCCCCCATTACCCCCATAATTGCCCCCCATAATTACCCCCTTTACCCCCATAGCCCCACAATTACCCCCTTCACCCCCCATAATTACCCCCCATAGCCCCAAAATCACCCCCCTTCACCCCCATAATCACCCCCCATTACCCCCCACAATTACCCCCATTACCCTCCATAATTACCCCCCATAGCCCCACAATTACCCCCATAGCCCCATAATTACCCATTACCCCCCACAATTACCCCCATTGCCCCCCACAATTACCCCCATTACCCTCCATAATTACCCCCCATAGCCCCACAATTGCCCCCATGGCCCCATAACTACCCCGCATTACCCCCCACAATTACCCCCCATAGCCCCATAATTACCCCCCATAATTACCCCCCTTACCCCCATAATTACCCCCCTTCACCCCCCATAATTACCCCCATAGCACCATAATTGCCCCCTTTACCCCATAATTACCCCCCATTACCCCCTAATTACCCCCCATAGCCCCACAATTACCTCCCTTTACCCCCATAATCACCCCCCATAGCCCCACAATTACCCCTCATAGCCCCATAACTACCCCCCATAGCCCCATAATTATCCCTTTACCCCCAATTACCCCCATTGCCCCCCATAATTACCCATTACCCCCATAATTACCCCCCATAGCCCCACAATTTCCTCCCTTTACCCCCATAATCACCCCCCATAGCCCCACAATTACCCCCCCATAGCCCCATAACTACCACCCATAGCCCCATAATTACCCCCTATAATTACCCCCTTCACCCCCCATAATTACCCCCCATAGCCCCATAATTACCCCCTTCACCCCCCATAATTACCCCCATAGCCCCATAATTACCCCCTTTACCCGCATAATTACCCCTCATTACCCCATAATTACCCCTCATAGCCCAATTATCTCCCTTTACCCCCATAATTACCCCCCATAGCCCCACAATTACCCCCCCCATAGCCCCATAACTACCACCCATAGCCCCATAACTACCCCCCATAATTACCCCCCCTTACCCCCATAATTACCCCCCATAGCCCCATAATTACCCCCTTTACCCCCCCATAATTACCCCCATAATTACCCCCCATTACCGCCATAGCCCCCCATAATTACCCCCCATTACCCCCCATAATTACCCCCCCTTACCCCCATAATTACCCCCCATAGCCCCACAATTACCCCCTTTACCCCCCCATAGCCCCACAATTACCCCCATAACTCCCCCCCATATCCCCCCCTTTACCCCCCCATAGACCCCCCCCCTTCCCCTCAGTCACGTGGTCCCTCACGTGGGCGTGTCCTCACCTCTCTCTCCGCCCTCCTCGCTCTCTCCTCCCTCTTCCTCCTCTCCCTTTCGGCCTCCTCCTCGTC